GACAAAGAATTCCCTTTCAATCTATCTTTTGACAGAATTCAACATCACGTTCTGCTCATTGCTGTTTGGTCCACAGTAGCAAATACAGTTCTTGGTGGAGGCTTCCTACTTGGTACAGAGTGCCTTGAACTGAAAACTTCCATGACAAGTCTTTAAAGTATTGAACCATTGGTTTTAGGAACACAAATGTTAAGAATAACACAATGCATAATATTTCATGGTAGACGAGTGTAAAGGATGGGAAAGCTTCACATGACAGTGGTCATCTCCAGGGTTTAATAAGCAAACATTTTTCATGGGTTCTCAAGACCACAGGATGGGCAGTAGCTCTGCGTTCTAAAAGGCAACACACATTCCTGGTTGCACTAGTGTAATCTGTCCAACTACCATTTTGGGGGAAGCAGAGAGGATTTAGAAAGAGAAGAAAATACCGTCACAATGAATGTGTTGCTGTGACACTTCAATCTTCTGGTCCAGATTGCAGATAATGAATCCCAAATTAAAACGGGTTTTCTCTGAGAAAAAGAGATTGAACTCCTTCACCACAAGAGAAACTCATTTTCACTGTCTGATCATCTAATTTGACCCCCTGAATAACAAGACATGGGAACTTCCTGGAGCAATTCCTGCTTCAGATATATAATCTGTGCTTGAAAGACACTGTTTTATATATACGTATACATATGCGTGTATATATACACACACACATAAAACCAACAGATACCATACAAAACCAATCATCCTTTTAAAGCTTCCAGTGATGGAATAATAATAATAACCCCATCAATCACCACTACTCTTAAGACTGTGCATCTGATTTCTGGATTGCAGATGTGTAGCTTCTCTTTGCAGCCACTGATTTTTCCTATCCCTTTCTGTTAGCCTTGGTGACCCTGTATCAAAAATGGCAGTTTTCCACAGAATTATACAAACTATGATCAAGTCTTAACTTTCTCTAGAATTACTTCAAAATCCCCCTTGATCAGAGCATTTCTGACATTTCGTAATGATCTACGATCAGCAAAAAACCTGTGTTCTTACCATCAGTATGACTGGCACTGACAGAGTATTTCCCACCAACTTTTTAAGTCTATCCAAATGCATACATATATACAAGTCCAGAGCAGCAGGACATTCTCCTGTGTATGTCTGTTCATCATAAAACATTGCTTCCATATTTTTTTTAAGTGTAGAACTTCTGATGTGAGAAAAATAGAGCACGTGTAAATTAAATAAAAAAGTTATATGAACACAAGTCTCTCACTATTTCTCAGATACAGTATCTCAGAACACCAAATACAAGATCCAGTTGTTAAAGATATCATAAAGTTCGTGTAACACTCTAGAAGACTTTGCAACTGAAAATAAAAGACAAAACTCATCAAAAATTATATATGTACTTTTAAAAGTTCTAGCGACCCTAAATCCAGTAACCAACCATTAGACAGTTATTCCGTATCATTCTGAATCTCAGTTAAAAACCAGAGGTTTCTACACAAAATACACAGGAATAAATGACACTTTATTACTATGCACACAAGATGATTATCTGAATCTTATTTGAACAAGTTACTCCCTAAATTTTCAAAACTGGGTTGAAAAATCTCCTACGCCTTCCTATCAAGCATGGAAACTGCCTTTCTGAAGCTACGCAGACCTCTGAGAGATGATTACTGTGTACTGTGAATCTGCAGTGTTTTGTGCGGGCAGAATATATGCGATTTCAAAAGACCCACTTAATTACAAACCCCTATTTGCTTGTACGCTGTTCTGTGAAACAACTCCATTTAACATCACGTACAAAGATGACAGATACAGCTCAGAAACCTTCAGAGAACCAATTATGTGTGTGTTAAAATTAACAACAAACTGAGTTTTCAGATTAGTTTTTCATTTTCTTTACAGTGATACACTACAGAATTTTGAACTATGAAACAAACACATTCTCGATGGGTTTGTTTCTGGAAGATCTAAAGGCATGTGTCCCTATCAGGGAGATAGTAGTTACGTGTGGAATAGCACCACATGATACTTGGGAACTGTATGGATTTCGAATTTTATTTTTCTCCCCACAAGTTTTCTCTGTGAGTATCTGAACCAAACTCCATTACTAAGGTCATAGAAATGCTACCGTTTAATCCAAAAATATCATGCTGGTAAAATAACACTTTTTGAATTTTTATACAAATATTCTCAGAACAGAATTACGTGTGGAATAGCACCACATGATACTTGGGAACTGTATGGATTTCGAATTTTATTTTTCTCCCCACAAGTTTTCTCTGTGAGTATCTGAACCAAACTCCATTACTAAGGTCATAGAAATGCTACCGTTTAATCCAAAAATATCATGCTGGTAAAATAACACTTTTTGAATTTTTATACAAATATTCTCAGAACAGAAACTGCTGCTGCCTCTGCAGAGGCATAACTTGTTTGCATTGTACAAAGCCAAAAAACGTTGCTTCCTTCTAAAACGTAAGTGTGCTTGCTCACTACGGATGAAATGGAACCAGTCAAAGGAATAGCACAAAACTTATTTTATGGATATAAATAAAACTTTTATTCTTGTGTGGTACTTTCACTGACAGCGAATAAGGTGAATTTCATGTTTTAAGAACAATTCTTGGCCCTACGAGAACAATGCAAATACACCTACTTTAATTATGCAAAGTTTCCATCAATCTTCTCCTTATAAAATAAGGTATCCAACAAACAGAAACAACTTAAATGCTTTCTATATGAAAAGGGAAGCATAAAACTTAATTATATCCTTACTTCTCCCCTTTCTTTCCAAACTGTTATCACCACATATATTTATATATTAAATGCTCCCGGTAAACAGCAAAAGAATGTTTTTTCTGCTTGAAACTAAGCAGCTTATCCTCCCAGTCTTACGATAGGCCTCAGTGGGAGCTTCAGATCAGAAGCAAGCACTTGGCATTTGATGGCTCAAGAAAACGTGTTTCTTGACCAAGAATATGTGTATCTTTATGTAAGATATACAGATAATGAAGAAAGTGGAGCGCCTCTTGCATAAACTTACAAGTTTGCAGAAGTTTAGGGCTACATTGGAAGCAGTCTCCCGATTATCCATTTTGGATCCTTAAACTCCCTTTAAAGAAGCACTTGTAGGGATCACTTAATCTGCTCATTCTATGCACATGTGCTTCAGGATTTGTTGTATGCTGTACAAACACCTAGGCATTTCTATTTTAAAAACTGCACAGTAAATATTTAATTAGAAGAAGTCAATTTGTATTTGCCTGCAGAAATGTAGATAGCTGTAATTATCATATACAACCTATTATAATACATCAAAGAAGTTGGCATACTATAGAGGACACACAAATTGGTCAGTTGACAGGAGCATTCAAGGTAGCTTTCAAGGAACAGAGAGAACGTTAAAAAAAAGAATCTTTTTCCTAGTCGTTTCTGATGTTATTATCTTTGTGCAAATGAGACAATCCTTTAACACATACACAAAAGTACTTTTTTTTAAATTAAACTCACATGTATCATAAACATTTACAAAGTAAGCATCCACAGTTTCCTAATTACAGTCTTTTTATTTAGCCAAATATTTTTTGAAGTGGCTTAGGCAACCTACATTCTCAGAAAAAAATTAAAAACCGGGCAGAGGGCGAGCATACCCCCACCAGCCCTGCAACGGCACCGGTCACAGGCCGAGGTGCTCGCCGGCTCCTGACGACTCCAGACCGCAGAGGAGCGCAGCCGTTCAACGGCGTTTCCACAGTCCGCGTCGGGCAAGCTGTGGCCAGCCTCCCTCAGCACCGCCCGGGCCCAGCCGCCGGACGGGGCGCCGAGGCGGCCCGCCCGGCGGCGCC